AATATTTAAAAAATAATTACATTTAAACAATGCAGTTTGTTTCATCTGACTGTCCATTGTTTTTACATTGTGGCGCCATTTTAAAAATTGTGTGTCTACATACACATACATTTAACTCGAGAAATTTTTCGTAGTATGATTTTCTACGGCGTTAAGTATAATTTGACAGTTCAGCAAAGCCTCGCTCGGCTTCAATCTGCTTTTGGCGATAAAGCACCATGCCAGACGATATTTATAGCTGGTTACATAGTAACATGGGAATATTATTGCTACAATCCCAAAACAAATGGAGCAAATGAACGTTTGGCTCTTTTAAGATGAGCCGAAAACTGCATCTAAGCGGATCATTTCTTCTTTTTTTTAATAAAACTGGACACGTCACTAATGTTACTTTAGAGAATCGTCGTACCGTGAATAGTGACTGGTACATGAGCATTTGTTCGCCAGAAGTTATTTACGAACTGCGTAAATATAACCGTAAACGCCGTATCATCTTGTACCACGACAATTCTAGTTCCCACACGGCCAGACAGACAATTTCATTGACGAATTTTTCGAAGGTGAAAATGTAGAACTTATGAGCCATCCTACATACAGTCCCGATCACATTTTTTGTGTTTCCAAAAATTAAGAACCAATTACGCGGTCAGCGATTTTCATCACCAGTTGTGGCTGTTGAAAAGAGTATGAAAAACACGTTTATGAGGTCACCACGGAGGAGTGGCACGCATGTTTTAAAAGCTGGTTTAATCGTATGAAAAAGTGCATTTACGAAAATGGAGAATATTTTGCGAAACAAAAAATTGATTTTTACTTTTAATAGTATTTTTTTCTTATCCATTCTGGAAACTTTTAGTGCGCCCAACGTATAGTAGATGATACCTTATAAATGAAACTAATTTTACGGATTTATCGCGTTTATTTTTATATGACACATTTTTTCCATATACACGCACCCATGTCTATCTGGAATAATTTATCTTCCAAATGGTAAGAGTTTCTTAAATAGGTGCAGTAGTTCAAGAGTTACCCTACACAGATATACAAAAACAAAATATTTGCTTTTTCATTTTGCCGGTTTGGTTTACTCGTGTTGCGAATAAGTTTGTCTCCCAGACCATCTTGCTCACCAGACTGTACGAGTAAAATTATCTTTAACGGACAAGAGTCAGTGAAATAAAATAAATATTAGAAAAAAAGTTCGATTGTTATATTCATATAAGATTGTGAAAGAGACGCAAATTATGAGAGAGAAATTTTGAATAAAAGTTTCAGGTAAGCATTTGTAAGTAATGATAAGTTTGTGTTGTTATGACATTGAGATATAATATGAATTTAATTGACTACTAATGTACTCTTAATATATAATAAAAGATAGATTTAATGCAAAGTGGTAGACAACGGTGCTGTGTCGTGGGTTTGATTCCCGCTTGGACTTACAGAAATTGGTCCTGGTCTAGTTGGCTTGTAAGACATTTATTTAAACATTTATTTATTTAAACTTATTGGCAAGATTAGTTTTAACTTCCATCTATCCGGAAAGTCATTGAATTCCGTTTAAGTATAAAGTAGCTTTATCATGATGATGATGATAAAGTAATTAATTCAGTAAAGTTACAAAATAATCTCTAGATATTATTTCTCAAAAGTGTTTTTTATATCAGTACACCGTAACTTCCATAATTATTCATAAAAGTTAATGATCCAAACTACATTTAAAGCTTATTTATGCCGCTATTAAGGAAAATTAGACATTTAGAATTAAGGTAAGATTTAAAAACTTCTGTTTAAAATTCCTTATGAAGAATCACTTTATCACAATGGCTTGCCCATTCCGTCCAGGGAAAAACCACGACCTCACAGAAGACCGACGTGAAGTGGAAGTGTTAAACTTCTGCGTTTCCTCTGGTGAGTGAGGTACCCATTTTATTAAATAATTTACATTTTATTATAAATAAACATTTTATTAAACATAAAGGCATCTGCAACCTACGGGTGTTGCAGATGTCCATGGGCGGCGGTTATCACTTAACATCAGGTGAACAGCCAGGTCGCTTGCCATCATCTTACATAATAAAAACCCATTTGATAAATGGCCCTACCGCTGAGGGCTGTATCAAAATCGTAGGCTACGTACTAAAATAAAAAAAAAAAAACATTAGTCAAAGTAAAGTAAAGGTCACTGAGTTCATATAATGTATTTATTAATAATTCCCTTGAAAGCAAATATTTTTATTGGCAAAGGGGCTCAATCGGGTTTTTAAGGTTTCATTGATAACGCGTAATATCTCAACATCGTCTCTGATTACTTCTTTGCACCTTTGTTCGAAAGAAATAGTTCACGAGAGTATTGTTATAAACAGTAGTTACTACCTATCATGTTCTTTCAATAAATGTTTAAATTGAAGATGAGTTGTTTTGATTGTTTCACGATCTATATATGTTTATAAATAATTTCGTGATTCATTAATTTCCCGATGCGTCTATTTAATGACAATTTCTTAATAAGACTTTATTGTTGTAGACAAATCTTTTTTTTTTATTTGAAAAGTTGCCAAACGAGCAGACGGTTCACCTGATGTAAAGTGAATACCGCCGCTCATGGACATCTGCTACACTCGAGGGTTAAAGATGTGTTGGCAACCTTTTGGAAATTGGGCTCCGGCCACCACACTCGCCAGTCGAAACGCGAAGGTATTATACCTCCACTTTACGCCGATCTTCTGTGAGGTCGTGGTACTTACCCGGACGAGCCTGCCCATTTGTGCAACAGCCAAGGCTGCTGCGTGGCCCTACCACCGTAACGTTCTCTGTTTCTCTCTGTATTTTTTTCAAATCAAAAACACAGTTGGATTTATTGTTGTCAATACTAAAGGTTTACGATATTTTATTACGCATAACGGTATTTTTAGGGTCTTTTACTAAACCTTTCCGTTTCAATTATTTAACTGATATATTTCGCATGCTTGTTATTTCCTGAAATACTTCAGAAGCGTTCAACCCCGCGTCCCCGAGGAGCAGAAGTCCTTACTTTTGCATGGGGAAGTGAATGTAAATCGCCTCTTCGTCCAAATGTAAACAAAGGAACACTTTTTCGCTGTAGTATGGCCACGCAACAGTCTTCGCTGTTGCATGAGTGGGCAGGTCCGTCCGAGGAAGTACTGTGGTCTCACAGAAGACCGGCATGAAGGGGAAGAGTTATTCTTCTGTGTTTCGTCTGCTGAGTGTAGCCGGGGCCCTCTTTATCAAAAGGTGCCAACGCATCAGCAACCAAGTACTGCCGTTGCAAATGTCAATGGGCGGCGGTTATCACTTAACATCAGGTGAACCGCCAGCACGCTTGCATCCGTGTCGCATAAAAAAAAATAAAGGAACAAAACATCTCGTAACAGATTAATCGCCGAGGCCCACTGTGAAATTTCGCGACGACCCCAATGCCGTCTCTGTTCATGAAATTACGTATACTGTTTGAGCGATCACAATTACTGTGTGAGGGATGACTTACGTCGTCAGAGCGTCGGGTTTCCCCCGTCTTGTCATGCGAGCCGCCCTCTGCCGTGTGCGTCTTAATTGCTCGCGATTTTGTGACCTTGTGACGTCACGTGACATCGGGAGAGCGAGGTCGAAGGGAGCTCGGCCCGTAATGAGGTTCCTTTTCTAAGACAGTTCGAGTATTTTTTTGTAATTGACATCATCTACACTATACAATGATTTAATAAGTTAACGTGGACATATGTTGTGTCACGATCTGATCTCGATTTACTTGATTTAGTAGGGTATATATATTTTTTTTATTTGTGCAATAATTATTTTTATTGATTGAATGCAGAATACCGCCGTTACGTACGGTGAGTTACGAGTAGTTTGGGGCCCAGTTTTTAAAGGTGGTTAAGGAATTCAACTCCTCCGATATCGTATGTCCATGGGCGGCGTCACTAATATCAGGTGAACTGTTTATTCGTTTGCCAACTTTCACATTAGTAAATGTAAGGGTAGTGTCAGCTGAACATGAATATACATAATACAATTGTTCATAAAGAAATAGTCGGTCATAAGACAGTTGAGAACTTTGAAACCATCGAACCACCTACCTGGGGCCTAGTTATTAAACATAGTTAATGTACTTTAAATAAATCTTTTACTCGTTAGTTTCTCGCGACTTTTCCCCCCTTTGACTTCGAACACGCTAACGACAGCGTGATAACTAAGCGAGAAATTCTACCGTTCGTTATTTTCGTGACATTAGGGCTTAAGCGATGTTCAATGAAAAAATTTTACGTCAAAATAACGGTCCACTTATGGCGGGAAAACAATACAAAGACGACACTCCGTGTTTTCGTATAATAATGGACAAAAGAGGTTCCCAAATACGCATCTCACTTATTGAATAAAGGTGCTCCGTAAACTATGGGGCCCGGCAGTCCCAGAGGATCGCGGGACGTTATTCCATTACGGGGCCTCTACGAAAAGAAGAACAATGGCCCTCAATTAAAGGCGCCCTTGGCTGGGCAAACAGTGCGTGTGTGCGGGCCAGCGCTGTGCCCATTTGTCAATTGATTCCCGATATAATGAAGGGTACGCGGCAGTGGAGCGACCTGTCAGAGGCGGTCTTCTAGTTCACGGCCTGGTGTGGGTGAGGTGGTGCTGGAGAGCGGTTCGAGCGCAGCCGACGCAGTATCGTCGTCTCGCTCGTCCACGGCGCGTTTTCCCGGCCTATAAAGCCTACCTAATCGCCCGCCGTCTGATAACGGCAGGCGTCTGTGTGACACTTTGTTTATATCGGCCGCGGCGCCAATTTAAATTGATTAATTCGTCATCTTACGCCTTCGCCTCTTAAGAATTATGCACTTTGCTAGTTCGTCTCTTTGAATTGAGGCATAATGCGTTATCGGTTCATTTCATATTTTCTAATTGCAACAGAGATGACATATGATGCGTATTTAGACGTTCGTATTATTTTTAATGAAATGATTGGTAGAGAATGTGCGTGTTCTCATCAAATGACGATCGGCCTGTCTCAGCGCGAGTCAAGAAAACCCGAGCGCCTGTGTCGGCCTAAGACAGTTTTCCACAACTCACTTACACCGAGCCGAGGCGTGTGGCTACGCAACTTTCCACGCACACGCGTCGCGGCGAAAAGAGCGGCGAAACGCGCGGCGCAAGCGTGCGACAGACCGCCGTCCCGCTCGCACGCGGCCCCCCGTCCCATTTCAACAGGTTTCGCCTTTCAGCAGTTGCAACGGGGGACGCGCGCCTGTAGTAACACAGCACAAACAGCACGAGAAGCACACGCCGCGCCGCGAACCGAAAACACAGATCCACTGACAGTCGCTACGTCGGCCCCACGAAGCCGTCCCCCTATCTGGTTTTGCCGCGCTTTAGCGATACGACGCGACTGTTTATTAATACGCGGTACGCTACGGCGCGCGTTCGGCGAACGGCCGAGCTCGTGGCGAATTCGCGGGGAAGTTACCGCGAAAAGTGCGAGTCAAACTCTAGTCGCGCCAAAAACGATGATCGGGCGGGCACATTGGAACCGGGGATGAGCACAGAGCTGGATGATTTGGCACGGGGTCCGTATCGCGGACGGCAGCGGCGGGAAATCAACAAAATGTAATGAACGCGACAAATGTTTACCTCTTCAGTGTTGTGAATAAATAATAGAGTTAATCGTAGCCGATAGCGTAGTGATGTAGCCCCGTTTCGAACACTTCATTCATGTAGACTGTAATAGTTCAAGCAACCATGGTTGTGATAATGAAATAGTGCGTTCAAATCTGTCCCGTGCATGCCCATGCATTATCAATAATATCGGTTGTTACATCCAAAGTTGTGAGTAAACGCTAGGAGAACAAATTAATATATTTATACAATCGCCAATAAGTTATATGTAATTGTTAATTCATGTGTAAATTAGGTACCTGTATTAGTGTTCATCTCTCTACGTTTATTATTAACGAAGAAGTCGTGAATTTTTTGGAACCCCATGTATAATTTCTCGTGAGGTTGTGAATATAAAATACGGACTTCAATTTGAACTTGGTGGCTGTTTATTCGGATCTCATGACAAAAGGAACCAGATTCGTAACCGAATTGCCGAAATGGAATTATTTGAACTCAACTGAAGTGTCTTTCCAGTCGAAGAAAGCGGTTGCGACCATAGTCAAGGTAAGAATTCTGTATTTTTTTTTGTGCGCCTTATCGAATATTTATAATATCATAAAACCTTAAAATTGAAACGTATTCTTAAATTAAATTTCAGGTGTATCTTTTTTAATATGCCCTAACTTCGTTGTGAACCGTCAAATTAATATTTGAGTTACATTATTTATTTGTTTGCGAAAAAAATAACGCTAATTTCGTTATAAGCATTAATATTGATCGATGTAAATAAGGTAAAGAAAAACATTTATTGTTACATAAAAATAATGCAATAAATTAAATCAATATAAATCTTCAACGTAAACTTGATAAATTGAACACCCTATTTATTTGATATTGCATATCATAGATACATTTTGATAGATATTGTATAAGGAAAAACTAATTAGCAGCAGGCCTGGGTACGGCATTGATTCTACGTAGTCGCTCCGTTAGTCTTGATAAGTTCACATCAATTTCACACATAAAATAGCTTTCACTTTATCTTATAGAAGCTATGAAAAGAGTAATTCTCTAATTAAATATTAATAAAGTACAATGTTGATTAGAGTGTTGTATATATATTCGAATTAATTTACATGTATACTAAGAAAAACAGGATACACGTATATAATCTTAATACTAAAATAAACTTATAACTGACTTAATTGGCACCTTATGCGAGCAGACGGCAATGATTAACTGCAAGTAATTTTGGTAATTAATTCATACGGTACACTCTCCCTGTATCGTTAGCATGCAAAAATATTGTCTCAAAACTACAAGAGATTAAAAGAGAACAAGAGATCATAAATAAAAACATTAAAATACAGTATATGTGTCCATCACATCCTCGAATAAAGTTGCTGTAAGGTATAAGACTACCTAATGTACAATATAAATGATAACATTTTTGTTGTTTTTATCGTATTTCTTGCCATGGTGTATGAATAAAATATTAATTCTATTATAAATTAATTAAATAATATGTCATACATTAGATTACATGGAAGAAGGCGATTAAATATAATTTTTAAAGTCACCTGAAGAGAATTTAAAACTATCGATTATTTTCAAAAATAATTTTCAATTCGATATGTGAGTGTTCAGAAACAATCTAATTCAAAGTAGCGTAGAAAGAAAATCCAGTGAGGTTGATATTCAATAATAGAAAATTTTAAGTACAATATACAATATTATGTTAAGAGCTAACTAAAGACAGTAGATTAGTACACGAGAGAACTAAATGCTTATGAAAACAAGAAAAGGTGAGCAATACATACGAAGAATTTTTTTATCTTTAAAGCTCTCGCACTATAGATTGATCAAGGCGTCGCCATTGGTTTTATAAATAAGAATCTAGGCATAAAAGATATCCCCAGCCTAGAGAAGACTATTTGCGTATGACACAAATTTTTGACCCATGTTGAGCACCCATCTATGGCGAAGAGTTTAGACTATTTCAATCTTCTTAATATGATAAATCACATCAACAAGTTTGTCAGTTTGTCCCGAGACCATGAACGCTGGAAAGTTTTCGAAACGTTGGGAATAAAAAATTAAAACGCGATAAAACCCGTCAGTTTCATGTAATGTGTATAAAATTCGCGAAAATCAAGAAATTAATAAGTTTGAAATCGATTCAAAATCATATCGCAAATATATTTTTTTCTGTTACAAACATTAGGCTTCCACCGAACATGGTTTAAATTGAAAACCTTCGAGCGTACGATTTTATTCTTAAACTGTCGTTGGCCAAGTATAAAATCAATAGGGTACAACGGTAACGTCGACTTACCATTTCCGATATAACTTTTGAACTGTAATTTTAGTTTTCCTAGTGAAGCTAACAGATGCCGCGGCTTTGCAAAATCGTAGCTAGCTTCTTACGAGCGTTTAGCTTTATAAATTGGCTATTTGCGTGAGGGGCATACAAATTTTAAACGGTTTTTTTTTTTTTCAATTATCGTAAGGCAATGGAAACGTATAAAAACATTTAACGATCGTAACATACATTATTGTAGCAATAATTTTGACTTTAATTAACGTAAAGCTTCACGAATGGAACCAATCGGGGAATTATTTGATGTTAAAATACAAAACTTGCTCCTTTTCCTATTTAAGCTTTACCACTCAAATTGTTTATTATTACTACAATATAATATACGAAATCAGTTTACACGCGAAATGAAGATAGTAATATAAAATTCTGTGAGGTTGTATGGGTGACGAAATGGAAATATGAGATTTTTCTTGGAAAAGCTGAAGTCTTTGAAGTTAATATTATATGCAACAGATAATGTAGTAATAAGAAAAATGTAATGCAATTATGATAAAATATTCTAAAACTCTTAAATTCCGAATTTGAAAATAATCTTGAAGTTTATGCGTCATTTAAAAATGTTGTTATAATTACTGTGGTAGTGGCACACAGCAGCCTCTCGCTCGGCCTCAACAAAGACTGGCGCGAAATAGAAGTATTATTTTTTCCCGTTTCGTCTGATGACTGTAGTAGTTTTTTTTTTGGGCTGGATGAGCCACTGTTGGCCTTAGGGGCCTTTACAGTTCCGACGGGCTTGAGGTGGCCTGAACCTAGGCGTATTATTTTTACGCGTTATGGTGACTAAGCTCGAGGGCTCTCGGGGGAGCCTCGGCTCGGGCCGTCACGCTATTATGTGTAGTAGCCGAGGTCCATTATTTTTAATGGTTAACACGGCATCTGCAACCCGTTGGGCGTTAAACGCGAAAATCCCTCGCTCGTTATCTAACAGTAGCTCCATGCTCACTCTAATCAGCGTCAATTCTGTTCCCTTCATACTTTCAGCGTTTCTTCGTGTTTGACGGCACTAACGCGAGCGATAAACAAGAATATACAACGGTAATGACACGGAGTGTTTTTGCGCTCGTTGCGGAGGCGCGTAAAGAGGGCCGTTAAAATTAGTGATGGCCAATAAAGCCCCCAGCGCGGAACACCTTAAATCATTCGGCCGTAAATTATCACGTCGCTTGGGCTTCCCACTCCGTCAAACCACGCGGTAACCCCAACAAAGCGGTATGAATGAGAATCGCTTTACGTCGGGCAGTTCCAGACGGCACTTCGACGCCTGCAGAACGCGTTGTGGTTTCCGAGGGCGAAATGGCACGTCACTATACACGCCGCAATCAGTTGGCTTTAACTGCTTTTCTTTAGAGATTAACGAGTTCGTCGTGTTAGTGTCGAAAGTACTTTATCGAATGTACTTGTTGACGATGAAAACTATATAAGTCATAAGCAACACGTAGAGTCAGAGAGTTGCTCATATATTATGTCTTCTTTTCTAAGTGGCTATAATATTTAGCTGACAATATCTCGTGGAGGCTATCTCAAAGGCAATTTTTGAGATGACCCTATGTCATCTTTAACATTATGAAAATTATATACTCAAAAATCAAACCCGCTAATACCCGCTAATGATGAAAAAGAACTTAATAGTTTGAACATAGCGTTTTCGGTAAAACTTTAAAAGCGTAAAGAATACAGAAGGCGCCATCTATTGACAACTTTAAATAATTATGACCGTAATTTGCGAAAAGCTCGCACTGAACATCGTGCATCATTTAAAAGCTTAAATTTCCCGAACTCGAGCAAAATGTATTGTAAGTACCAAACACATATTGTACAGATTATGAATTTATCGAGAAGTTAATGAAAGAAAAGCGAGAATTGTACGATAAAGGTAATGGCAGTACGTAGTAGCTTTCACAATATTTTCATATAGCGTGACTGCTTTCTGCAATTGTTTTCACATAGTAAAGTAAAAAAAAGTAAAGTAACAGCCAATAGATGTCCCACTGCTGGGCAAAGGCCTCCTCTATACAGAGGGTATCAGGGCATAGTCCACCACGCGGCCCCACTGCGGATTGGCGGACTTCACATATTTTCGAAATATATATTTTTTTGTTATTATTTCGAAAATATGTAGGTTTCCTCACGATGTTTTCCTTCACCGCGGAGCACGTGATAAGTCAGCACTTAAAGTTAAAAACTTCATTGGTGCCGGCACCGGGGATCGAACTCAGGTTGCTCGAGTATATTGAATTAAAGGCGAACGCCCGGACACTGAGCTATCACGGCTCTTTTTTTCACATACTCTTCACGAATAAGCATCCCCCCATCAGGCATCAGATATTTGTCATCGTGACGAATATTTAAGTCCCGGTCGCGCAAACAATTGTCGGAGAGCCAACTCTCAGCGAACGTACGAGGGATTGCCAAGGCGAATTCTATTGTAATGATACTAGCGGCGACCTTCTATTGTCTCCGTGACGCGGACGTCTCACCGGTACAGTCGTAAACAGTTACAGTTACAGAAAAATAATGAAGTGACATCCCATAATTTTCCATGACATATACTATTAGTTA